GCAGTAAGTTGAATCTACGTGGAACATTACCCCCCTCTGCTACGTGATACAGTCAAGTTTTAAGACCCAGGTTTGGGGTTGGTGGTTTGGGTTTCTTTCAAAGTGCATCCTGTAGCCCAGTTTAACAGTATCTCCCCATTTTTATGCACGCAACCGAGCAGCAGAACTAGATTGAAAGGGCAGGTGTTTCAGTATATCCATTTTCCTTCCGTTCTCCTTAAACAGAATTTTCTAGGTGCTTTTCCTTGCTGTCCCTACGTTACCGATACCCACAGCACCGGCTCTGAAGCCGAGCGCGGTAAGCAGCACGCAGAAAGAATCTCGATTCGTAAACTACGGTAGACACAGAAGGAGAAATGAATTTATTGATTTATCAGCAAAGATCTTGCTCCGTGCTGCCAGTGCTTTTCAGCAGGTACGCACTTCAGATCCCAAAAAAATAAATACGCATCAGAGCGGCAGCTGCGTTACCTGCCAGCCCATCGCAACAGAAACCTGCAACAAAAACACCTGTATTTGCCACCAAAACCGAGCTGAGGAGATCTGTCCCATTGCAGCCATCGGTCGCTTCGTAAAAACCCATGGAAGCGTTTGAAGCCGCTGGCCCTGGAGCTGGGAATATGGGCAGGGTGTGCGTCAGGCTTGGAACAGCTGGCTTGGACGCTCACACAGAATCGGCTACAACAGCGCGAGCGGGCCAGGGCACCACCCAGCCAGCAGCCGTATGCGTTTCCTTTGTGGTTGCAGCGCTGTTCCAAAAACTAAGCTTTCATTCCAAAAGGAGGGGGGAAAAAAAAAAATCCAAGTCTAGACCGGCTTTTTCTACAGCTGGAAATGACACAGGTCAGTGCTCAGCGACAGCGTGGACAGACACACGCTGTGCCCTGCTCTTAGCTAACCCGATGCCTGGAAAGCGTCACTTTTTTAGCCTGGATGCGGGCAAAACTCTCTCACGGGGTGGATCTGACCTGATGTAGAGATGTGTGCTGATGTGCAGCCAGGCTTGAGAGAACAAGGGCGAGAGATGGGAACTGCCTGGCTGAGCGCAGGAGGCACGAAGGACAGCGTTAGGATGGTTTAATGCGGCCAATAACCGCAGCGCTGCTGGTAAATCCTGCAGGAGGCCGTCACCCTCGATGCCATCCTTGTTCACAGCTCTCTGAATGCAAGTGCCCTCTACAGACACCTTCCTAGGGAAGGGGAAAAAAAGACACAAGCCCAAGAAAAAACAACCCGCCAAACACCTGAGCTGCTATCAGCACAGCCCAAGGAGGAAACCAGACCAAGCACAAAGCAAGAACAGCCCAATTCCTCAAGTTTTGACTCAAAACAGCACAGAACTGCATAAGCCGCATTAGATTTGTGAGCACTAACATTTCACGCTGCATTCAGCCTCGGCGGGGACAGCACTTCCTTGCTATTCTCATCGTTCACACTGAGCTTGGATTGACACACGGGTTAAGTCCGGAGCGCGCGGGAACAGCTCTGCTGACATTCCCCGTTAGCTCTCACTCCCCCACGTCCATCTTCTGTTGTTCGTTATTAAAAATTGCCAGTATAAGAAACATATTTTCATAAATAACTAAGTATGGAATGCAATATCACTCTTAAAAGCTTTCCCTCATTTCACAATGTTTTTGAAAGGCATAAATAAAGCCAAAGAAATTTTACGAGAGTGACAACACGGGGTTTTGTTCTGTTTTAATTCCAGCGCTCCGTATCTCCCGATGAATACTTCACAGAGCTGAGCTATGCATAAACCAGACCTCATCTGCAGTTTAAAGAAAAGGAAAAACTTCATTCCTCCAGCGTAAAAATCATCTGGAAGGCAGTGAAAAATACTTAAGTTGTATTTCTCGAGCAACTGACATTTTCAGGATTTTTTGGTGCCTCTGAACGCTTCAGCACCCAAACCAGGTCACTCCTCAGTGGCCAAGTGACACCGTACAGCAGTTCAGCAGCACTGCATTACCTCTAAGCTTGTTAGCTAGCTGCTTCCAGATAAGGATGTTTCCAGAACATCTGCATCACCAGAGTAAGAGGCTTCTTGCATAACTGCTCTAAGTGAGGGGGAAAAAAAAAACCTCCTGAAGGCTTTTGAGTATGATCTTCCATAATTCAAGTTCTTGGGAATTCATACCAAAGCAGGAACAACAGATTCATTAAATAGTTCACTTTCACCTAATGCCTTCTGTGTGCTTCACTCTTAAGCTACAAAGCAGCAAGCAGCCACCTTTTCCATACTTGTTTGTGATCAAGGGAGAGTTTTCTGTTTGAAGTCAGAGGAAAAACCCTTCTGTCTGCTTGAGCCAAAAGAGAAGTTTTACAAACTGGGGTTCTTCCTCCTACCCTGTTCGATAGCTTAGAAGTGTGTGATCAAGAAAAACTTAGGTACTTGTGGATTAAGATTAAAAAAAAAAAAAAAAAAAAGGGGAGAGAGAAGGTTGAAGTTCCAGAAATAGGTAAATCATGTCATTCTCACTGGCTATGTCTTAATAAATCTTAGAACTGGGAAAAATCCGTATCTCCAGTCCCAGACAGAAGCAAGTCCTGAAACACAAAGATGAGCATGTGCTCAGTTCAGACCTGCTTATTTATTTCTTGAAGCGTTTTTGCTGAATTAAATCAACCCATCCTTACCATCTTATTAATACAAGGAATTCTGCTTCTTTAGGACAATCTCCCCCAGCTGTTTTCCTGAAGACAACCCCTCAGTCTGTTGCCTGTTTCCCCAACACAAGGGGAAGATGTTCGCCAGAGGCATGAGTAAGAGAACAACTTAGTCCTCTTTACTGGTGAAGAATCTTCAGATCTTGAAAATATCCTTTCCCACCTCTGTGGTTTTTTTGCTTTGTTAAAGATGAAAACCTGAAATTACCTACACTGGTCTGGTGTTATGACAATGGAAATTTAAACTTGCAGAGCAAGCCTCACAGAAGCCAGGAAATGAAAACTAGTTTCCATAGGAGCCTTCATCTTCTACATGCACTTGACCACACAACTTCACAGGTCTAAAGCAAAAAGTTCTTCCCCTTTCCATTTCATTAGCTGGCAGCGTTAAAACTCACTAGTAACGTGCTGGTGTTGCACGTGCAGTCCGGACAAAAATCACAGCTCACCAGGCCTACAGAGCACTATCTACTGACATACGGTGTGTTCCAAGCATCAGTATTTAGAACGCGGTGAAGCAGCCCAAAGCTCTGCTGATAAAACACTGATACACACTAACGCCTAGGTACAAGCTCCATAGGGGTAATCAGGACACTCATTGTACGCTGACAGGAACCATTCCACGCTTTATCAGATGGGATTTCACCCATCTGTTGCATTTTGTGCTAGGGAGCGTATCAAGGGGATGGGTTGTAGGGGAAGCTCCGTTACGATGAGCAGCTCTAACTTCACTGTCTGCCCGCAGTGCTGGATAGAAACCAGAAGGGTGAAGACCACACGCGCTTTAACTCGTACACGTCATGCACATCATAGGCGTTGGGGAGCCAGAGGCCCTTTCCAACACAACCCCCCTCGGCTTTCGTGCCGCACAAGCCGGCAGCAGGGTAAGCACACACCTCGGCACCTAGCCGGGCGCCTGGGGACAGCTGTGCAGCCAGGCTACCGCTTCCCACCAGGAGACACGTTCAGAACAAAGGAAGTTGTTGGTGTCGCCGAGGTGTCACCCCGACACCGCGTGGCTAAAGCTGTGCACAGTCCAGCTGCCCACCGCGCACCCGGCGGCTTCTCTTTTCCTTTGGGGTCTCTTGCGGCGTTTGAGCTGACCATGCCAGCGCATCCCCTCCTCCTCAAACCCCACTTGTCGACAGCGATGTGTAAAGAAACTCACTCTGCTCTCGGAGAGCAAAGGCCCTTGTTGCACGTTTTCTTGACCCGGATCCAAGTACAGCCGCAGTGCTTAGCAACCAGTAACACGGTCTGTCCAACTTCAGAATAAGTTCTACCGGGAGCGGGGAAGAGAGTGGCAAGTTCCACTTTGTAATCTTGATTTGGTCTTAACCCAAAAGCGATTATTCTAAAATCGTGACTTGGCAGCACACAGAACACCCAAATAAACCAAAACTGTTAAAAGCCAGAAAGAACAGCTGAAAACACCCTTTTTGTTTAGGGAGGTAGTCATATGAAAATCATTTCATTTGCTCTCTCGTCTTGCTTTATACGCATTTATTGCACTACAACATAGGCCTTTTTATAAAAAGATGATGTAGAAAACCACAAGATTGTAAATACTAGATTTATGATTTGTTTGCAATTATATTTAATATTAATAGTATTTTGTTTTTACAAAGCAGATGAAATTAAAAAAAAAAAAAAAAGGAATAGCAAGAACCCCCCATCTGCTGTCTAGCATCAGTAATCCTCACTGGTTTGTTTACCATTTATAAGGAAAACATCATTCAGCGTAGCTTGTCACAGAGACTCTTCTGCAATAACTGGCCTTGGGTGCAAACCTGTGGCGTCTGTCAGCTCATTTGGTGTTTTTTTGTTTTGTTTGGTTGTTTTTTTTTAAAGTCCCTCCTCCTAAAATTCAAGGTATCTGCCGATGATACTCTTCCTCTCTGAAGGGCCTTCCAGCCAAACACAGTAAATCTGGTAAGGCTGGTAAATACCCTCCTTTTACAGAGGTAAACTGAGTGTAGATAATTAAATTTGTCTGAGGCCAGTCCTTTGAATGGCCAGCCACAGAACCCCGATCTCACAATCCCAGGTGATTTACCTTGACTGAAGACTACGCTTCCTCTCTATGGAAGAGTGAAAAATTAACTGTTTCTGCTTAAACTGTTTCTTTCTCCATCCTCTCTAAGAGGTATTTTTCTTGTCTAGTATCAGCTTCTGCGTTACCATTTGGAAATGGTGTAAATCTGTTTTCAAGCCAACACCCTGCGCTGAACCCAGTCCCAAAGGAGTCCCTGTGACATGCAAACGGTAGGCAGTTAGACAGAGGGTAAGATCAAGCCTGCTAGTGACACGAGACACTAGGGAGGTTAGCCTCATCCACCTGCTGACGGGCCTCTCCGGCCTGGTCTCCAGGAACACGTTCCGCCTCCTTCTCCAGACAGGGGGTTATAGCCTAGTACAGAGGAGAAATCCACTGTTTAATATTCATCCTCAACAGGCCTTCACCAACACAAAACCCAAATCCCACAGTTACGTGCACCTTGTTTTTTACTTACTACCTAGGCAGCATTTTAAGGAAAACGAAAGCAGAGAAGATACCCAGGGTGGAGATGGTTTATTTTTGTAGAGCTAACAGTAAAAGCCATTGCAAACCACTCGTTTTAATGTGATCAATTTGTGCTAAATTAAATTGAAATTAATTACCATTTAATTTCTCTAAGTCTGCACTAAAGCTTTAATGCTGCTGTGCAGAGGAAGCAGCAGGAACAGCAACTGACAGGAAACGCTCTAAGAGTATCTGATCTCCAAGAGCCCTAATAGTTAGGGACTCAAAATATCCAGTCCTGCAGGGAAGGAATACTCTGAAGGTCAAAAGTTAGAACTGCTCATTACTACTGTTTTGTAGGGATTTGAAAAGGCAAGTAGACACAGTAAAGCAAACAGACACTTCAGCTGAACCTCCCAATGCCGTAACTACGGGCAACCTCGTTTAACGAATATATACTCTGGAATATACAACTTGGCAAACGTCCTCAATTTGTTCTGTACAAGGCAAAGAGAAAGCCAACCGAAAACCCAGCAGCACTGGGTTTCAAAGGAACCTGTTCCACTGAGACTTCAAGCATCACCTCCATCTTTGAAGGTTGTTTTTCTCAGACTAGCCAAGTTCTGCTTTCTAGTTTAATTCAGCAGCTGAAAAGTGCAGATGGTTCTTTCACTCCACGCTGATCTCCCTCACGAGGAGATCAGAGAACTCTAATTCAGTAAGCTGTTACTTTTAAGCAAAGATTTTGCTTAGGATGAAACTAGGACAGGTAGCAGCTGGAAGGGTGCCTCAACACAGCTGCCCCAATCCCCATCCTGAGCGCAGCTCTTGCCCATGCAGTTCTCACCCCCACAGTGGTGAATATCCTGTGCAAGAGCCATAAAAGATATTTAACACTGTCAGACATTAGACTGTGCTTGTATTAAACAACATAAGATGAATCAATCTGACAGTTCCTCCAGATGTTGTCAAGAGCTGTAAAAATACAACAGACATTTCAGCACTAAACTATTATTGAGATTTAATATGTTTAATCAAGAATCTTCAGGTTTCATACGTTTCCTCAAGTGACTTAGCGCTGCATCCTCAGTAGGTTTCCCTTTTAGTCGTACACGACTGAGGCTGTCTCCATGATCCCCTCCCACTATGGAAAACTGTAATTAAAACACTACACCCAAATTAGCACTTGCAAGCTGTTTGACCAGCCAGGAAACTGACTGCAGAGCCAATACCCAGCAGCGACCCAAACGTGGGCTACGAAAGGCCACAGAAAGCAGTTCATCCATCAAGATAATTTCAGCAGTTGACAGTGAGTTTAATGACAAGACCCTCTGGCAGTCTGCAAGAGTTGGTAATGGTTTATAGATCTGTAGGATCTATACATTCAATAGGTCATTACTGTGGTATCAGATAAAGGTCACATTTTGCATAACAAAGTCTTTCGTCTGCCTGAATCTACATAACACAAAGTAAAATCTCCTCTTCCTGCATTTAGTTAGTGCTACAGGTGATTGAAAGACAGGCCAGGTATTAAGTTATACCACTTTTAGAGTAAGGGGAGAGGGAGCCCAGAAATACTGTAAGAATCCGTAATTTTGAGACACAAAAATCTCAGTAAATTACGACAAAAGTATTTAGAAGAAAACTGAAACACTTTTTCCCCAGGGAAAAGCACCACAGAATCTTCCTGCTAGGTTCTGCACAAAGGGCAAGGCAGGCCACACTGGAAGAGGTAAAGGTCTCGTTTGTAAGGCACTTTTTGTTTCCTCCTTGAAGGAGAGAGGAGTTAAGGGTAGTTCTACAACAACTGTGAATGCAGCTGGAGAAGTGCTCTGTTTCAAGCTCCCAGTATCTTAAGGTTTTCATACTCACCACCTCCTCGCAAAGGCTTTTTGTTTGGTTTAGATTTCGGGACTGCTGATGAGGTGGAGGCACCAGACTCTACTTCCTGTTGTTCACAAAAGCAAAAGTTACTTAGAATTTAATCAACGTGAATTTCAGCTGATCTAATCACGTAAACATAATTGTAACCTGGTTAACACCACAGTTGTTACCTGATTCAGTTTCAGGTTTCCTTTATAGCTTTTCCCTTCTTGCATACTTTCCCACATTGCTATCTTCTGTCTTCGCTTCTCCTCTTCGAGCTAAGGAACAAAACCCAGGATATGCAAGACTGAGATTTCAGAACTAATAAAATCCCCAGCGCTGCAGAAACAGCTACAGTCGACGCAGCAAAACCCAAGGGATCTGTCTGTATCTGGTGCAGTATCTCCAAGCTTATGGAAGCATTTACTTCTTTAAACACGCACATCTTCCCAACCACAGAACAGCTACCCCTCCTCAACATACACAGACTGGGTCTGCAGCTCCTTTTCGCCACCTGATGCTTTAAAACATTTTGAAAGTAAACCAGAAGCAAGTGGCAAGCTTAAATCCCGAGTTTATGAAAAGTAGAGCATAGGATAGTGCATATGAGAGTAATTTATTGCACAATGTAGGGTTCTACAGAACCAAGTGTGTTTTTCAAATGAACCAGACAGCCAGCGACATATTTACATCCCAGTACACATTCTCAACAGTTCTCCCAGCTCTCTTCTAAAGCCATTTATCCACAAAACCAAATAAATTCACGGTTAAGACAGACTGCTTTCTTCTCAACAAATAGAAAGGAAACAAGGCAGCTACTCCATCCAGTCAAAGAAAACAAAGCTCCCTGACTCCAAACACACTAGACCTAAATTTTCTACACAGTGGCTATTTGCTCCACAATATGACTTTTCATTCATTTTTAACTGCCAGTGTTTCTCGAAGCATCAGCTAGAAACTGAGGTGTGAATGTATCTGACTGCCAAAGTAAAAACTGAAGAAAAGCTGGGATTAATGAGCAATATTACTGCTGTGCTGATCACACCCACTTTTCTACACTGCCCCGCAGAGCAAAATGCTATTCCTCATTATCTCAAGCGGTAGTTCAAGCTGTTCAGTTACAGTGATGCTAAGCTACGTTTGTAAGAATTTATATTTGCCATTATGGACAGAAAATACATGTACGTACAGTTAAGCTAAACGCCGGTAAATCCCCTCCAGCGATTCACTGCACATCTAACTAAGTCTCTGTAGGCACAGATTTGCCCGTAAAAAACGAAGAGATTGGGCCCACAGCATCCCACGTGCACAATTACTTGCAGAGAAGCAAGCGCCACGGAGATTAATCACTTCAGGAAAAAGCAGGATACTACTCGTATCGATCAAGAGCATCAAGGCATCAGCTCATCACAGCATCATTGATCCATTATCTGTGGACCAATCTGTATCAAAAACGGTCCAGGTAAAGGAGGGGGAGGGGGGAAAACCCACCACCCACATTCCAGCAGAGAGCATGAGTCTCCTGTTGGTATCCAGCACAGAATAAACCTTTCTGTGACAGCAGCAAAGCACTTGACGACAAATTTCTCAGTTGAAGAGTTACCTGTTTTTGTTTTTCTTTGTATCTTTCTGCTTGTGCATTCAACTCCTCTTGCATCCTGAGGCGAGCTGCTGCCAAAGCTTCCTGCCTTCTTACCACCACATCAGGTTCTAGGAAATGGGGAAGGAGTTTGTAAGGCTATTCAGAATGAATTCTAGATGATGTCCTTGAAGAATTGTATTAAGGAAGGCTTCTATCTCTCCCTATAGCTGTTTTACAGAATATCACAGCCCAGGTTCAGTTTCCAGCTGATCTTTGATGGTAATTTATATGTTGATTTAAATTTCATAACATCTTAATATTTTTAGAGCAATTACTTTAATGGGATTTTAATGAATCAGTCCTTACACCAATGTAATGAACCCTTAAAAAATTAAAATTCACATGTCTAGGATACTTGCTTCTATTTCTGAAGGATTTATTCGATACAAATAATTTCAGAAACATCACCCATGTTTCTGGGCCGGATTCCATTTTTACCCTGAGAACTTCTTTTATGCAGAAGCATGAGGCAACCAGCCCACGTTCACTCCTACTCATTCTGGCCATCGGTCCTGCTTGTTTCATTATGGCCGTGAAGCAGTGGCAGATTTAACTTGCTCCATCAGCAAGGAAATCACTTACAAATATCACACACGTCTCAAGAGAAAACTGGCAGTCTCAGAAAATCTACACTGAGTCACCATTTCTCTCCATGATTGGCCTTTAGAAGTCAAAATTAAAATTACATCCAAACAAAGGCAAGTATTGCTCTCATTCTGCCCAGTAGCTGAAGTCTCTCTACATTTATTTGTCTCCTTATGCATTTGCTACCATCCAATGATGAAAAGATATTTCAGCACTTTCGGCAATTTCATTTTATAGGCCGTTTTGGCAATTAAATCAAGATTTAATTAGCGTTACAAAGGAACACCAGTAGGATAAAGGCACGTGAGTAATATTTTCTGGGGCCTCATGTACCGCCATGCCAACATGCCACAGGGATCAATGCCAAGCACTTATTGTTTTGGCAGAGACACGAGCACAGCCTGTGCTTTACGGCAATGAGTCTCCAAACGAGGCAGGATGGTGACTGTGTAAGATTTACAACCTATGCCACACTTGAGAAGGTAACACAGACAAGAGGCGGTTACACCCCAAATGTATACAAACCTGCCAGAGCAGGAATTGTGAAGGAATAATTGAAAGGAAAAAGATGCAGAATATTAATGAAAAATAAATATTAGTCATAAGATTTCCCCCCAGTATTTAGATTTGGATGTTTTGGTTTTGTTTGATAAGTCTGAAAGTTATTTGATAACTGACCACAACTAGTTTTAACCACCAGCTGTTCCCTCGTTCTGCAATGCCCTGCTCCACTCCCACGTTACTTTGGAACCCAACCCTTCCTTGACAGCCTTTTTAAGGCACTTCTCTTGGTCCAGCCAATCCCTAAAATGATCTATATGCTTCTGTGGGCCTAAAGATTTATCCTGAGTAGGGCGCTCTGTTAAAATCCCTCAGAACCGACCCTCTTTCTGCTTGTTATTAAATAGAGACCCTGTGTGGCTCAGAGCCGCTGCCAGACATCCCATAGCCACTGCAGAGCCCTAGCAGGAACCCAGAAGAGACACAGGCACCACCCCACACAGCTCTGGAGACCAAGCGAAGGTTCACTCACCCACAGCTGCGTCAGCTGCTGCCGGCTGGCTGCTGGGCCTGGCTGCCAGGCTCCGGGATATCTTCTGCACGAGGAGATAGACGGCGACAGCGGCCAAGAGGATGTACC